TCTGCAATTCTAAATTTTCCAATTCCCAAGTCTTCCAATTCTCAAATTTTCCAGTTCCCAAATTTCCTAATTCTCAAATTTTTCAATTCCCAAATTTCCCAATTCCCTAATTTTCCAATTCCCAAATTTTCCAATTCCACAAGTTTCCAATTCCTAAATTTCTCAATACCCTAATTTTCCAATTCCCAAATCTTCCAATTCCCACTTTTCCCAATTCCACAATTTCCCAATTCCCAAATTTTCCAATTCCCAAATTTCCCAATTCCCAAATTTCCCAATTCCCAAATTTCCCAATTCCCAAATTTCCCAATTCCCAAATTTCCCAATTCCCAAATTTCCCAATTCCCAAATTTCCCAATTCCCAAATTTCCCAATTCCCAAATTTCTAAATCATCAATTTTCCAATTCTAAATTTCCAACTCCCAAATTTTCCAATTCCAAAATTTCTCAATTCCCAAAGTTCCCAATTCCCAAATCTTCCAATTCCTAATTTTCCTAATTCCCAAATTTTCTAATTCTCAAATTTTGCAATTCCCAAATTTCCCAATTCCCTAATTTTCCAATTCCCAAATTTTCCAATTCCCAAATTTCCTAATTCCCTAATTTCCCAATTCCCAAATTCTAAATCATCAATTTTCCAATTTTAAATTTCCAATTCCCAAATTTTCCAATTCCAAAATTTCTCAATTCCCAAAGTTCCCAATTCCCAAATCTTCCAATTCCTAATTTTCCTAATTCCCAAATTTTCTAATTCTCAAATTTTGCAATTCCCAAATTTCCCAATTCCCTAATTTGCACCATATTTGATACGTAAATTGAATCGGTTTAACCTCAAAACTGTTCTTTGGAACCGTGAAGTTTATTTCACATATCTTGGATACAGAAATAGTCTATTTATAACCTTGATGGCCAAATATATCGATATTAATATTGTCATGTGTGCTCAGTATTCTAACATTGTCAACATTTCAGTCTTGTCAATATATTGACAACGTATTAATCATGAGGTGTCTAGAAGTCTCATTTGATTGATTACTATTGAATTCTAATCTACAAAATTACTTCAATAATTTTTAAAAATGATATCAATTCGTACTTCGTCCTTTACTCATCTCTAAATTTTAATTATTTCAAGAATTTGTACAAAATATAATTTAGACATAATATAATTTAATACAGAAATTTTTAAGTATACCCAATTTCATTGTTAACCTTTATCCATCAGGGTAGTGTCATCAGATACGTCAGTCAAGCCTAACTATTCAGGACTATAACATTAACCCCTTGCAGTATGACTTATTTGTCAGGTGCTTCAGTCAGAACGACTAATTACAGCAACAATATTAAAATAGAAAAAAAATTTGAAATATTATGTCAATATGTTATTATGCAATCGTTGACTATGCAAATCATAATTGGACTTGAACTCCAAATTGCAGCGTATTAAAAATTTGATTAAAATTCATCACGGCCGAAGTACGAGTGCGTCAGACTCGTCAAAATAGTGCAAAGGGGTAAAACGGACAAAGAAAATTAAAATGTAACTATTTTATATTCAGAAATCCTTGATAATGCAATTTATGGTTGAACCTAAATTTCAAGTTGAAGTATTCAAAATTTGAGTAAGGTTTGTCATACTTGAGCTGTAAGTGCGTCACGAGTGAGGCTTGTCAAAGTACAGGAAGAGGTTAATTTTAAATGAAGAATGTCAATAGGAAGAGTATGGACGTAAAGTATGGTAGTTGTTTTTTAAGGGGATGATTACATAAACAATCAATTAAACAACGACAGAGGAAATGGTCATAATTTTCCGTTTAAAATGTGCTAGGCGTATCCGTGGCACGGTGGAATTAAGAGATTAACGCGGGCTCGAATCCTGAAGGAATTCAGGGAATGCTCAGATATCGCCGGGGCAATTCGCCTGGATTTAACGATTGGAAAGAGAAGGCTTCGAGCCAGGAAATAAGGACGCAAATGAGAGCACAAAGCGAAGGAATAGGAAGAGAAATATAAACCGAGTCTTTTGAACGGACGATTCAAGTTACGAGAAAGCATTAAGCCCTGACAATGTCTTGGAAAGGTCTCGTGGTCGACGTTTGTCCTCCAAAATCATCTTTGAAACAGTAAAAAAGTAGACATTTCCTTCGACTTTCTGTCAATTTTATCTGAAGTATTTTTGGGAGAAAATGGTTGACATTTTCATACTCAATTCTCTTATCTTGAAAATTAGTTATGGACACACTGCAATTCTAAATTTCCAACTCCTAAATTTTCTAATTCTCAATTTTGTAATTCGAAATTTTCCAATTCCTAAATCTTCCAATTCCCAAATTTCCCAATTCTCAAATTTCTAAATCATCAATTTTCCAATTCCCAAATCTTCCAATTCTCAAATTTTTCAATTCCCTAATTTTCCAATTCCCAAATTTCCAAATTCTCAATTTTGCAATTCCCAAATTTCCCAATTCCCAAATTTCCCAATTCCCAAATTTCCTAATTCCCTAATTTTCCAATTCCCAAATTTCCAAATTCTCAATTTTGCAATTCCCAAATTTCCCAATTCCCAAATTTCCCAATTCCCAAATTTCCTAATTCCCTAATTTTCCTATTCCCAAATTTCCCTAATTCCCAAATTTCCCCATTCCCAAATTCCCTAATTCCCTAATTATCCAATTCCCAAATTTCCCAATTCCCAAATTTCCCAATTCCCAAATTTCCCAATTCCCAAATTTCCCAATTCCCAAATTTCCCTAATTCCCAAATTTCCCCATTCCCAAATTTCCCCATTCCCAAATTTCCCAATTCCCAAATTTCCCAATTCCCAAATTTCCCAATTCCCTAATTTTCCAATTCCCAAGCTTCCCAATTTCCAAATCTTCCAATTCCCAAATTTCCTAATTCCCTAATTTCCCAATTCCCAAATTCTAAATCATCAATTTTCCAATTTTAAATTTCCAATTCCCAAATTTTCCAATTCCAAAATTTCTCAATTCCCAAAGTTCCCAATTCCCAAATCTTCCAATTCCTAATTTCCCTAATTCCCAAATTTCCCAATTCCCTAATTTGCACCATATTTGATACGTAAATTGAATCGGTTTAACCTCAAAACTGTTCTTTGGAACCGTGAAGTTTATTTCACATATCTTGGATACAGAAATAGTCTATTTATAACCCGTCCAATTCTCAAATTTCCCAATTCCCAAATTTGTCAATACCCAAATCTTCCAATTCTCAAATTTCCCAATTCCAACGAAGACACTGCTCTCCAACAATAAATTTTTACGACTCACAGCACCATTTATGATCCTTTTATAACTCGTCCTTTTATAACTTCGTCCACTGCAACTATGTAGATAATTTTACAAAACGAATTTTTCAGTATTCGAAATTTTTCAAATAACAAAATTAACACTAAAACTACAAAACCGGTCCAACGACCGCTCCACAAGTTTCTTATTATATTATACACATTTTGTTAAAGTACATTTCTTGAAATGAGCACTGATTTTCATCAAGATAAAGAATAAATGTATGTATTAATTTATGTTTCATCGTTTGTTCACTTATTTTTTAATTTCATTTTTAATTTCATATTAAGTATACATTATATGCCGGTAGGTTTAACGTTAATTAAAGTTACCATTCTCGAAACAAAGGTAGAAATTGACAATATCGGTGAACCATGTTCGAGATATAATATGGAAATATTGGTAATACGATTTTGATTACTGGTAGAAATGTCGTTTTGCCATAGTCATGCGGACTTTAGCGAGACGCATTAAGGATTATCGGATCAACGACACCATTTGAAAGCTCGTAAAATGTATATGGGTCGGTTGTAAATAAATAGCCATGTTCGGTCGCGCGAAAGGCTTACTGTATATCCGTGGAGCATATGTGTTCCATCGGTTCAGGAAAAGGCTTAAAACACGGAGTATCTTGACATCGATCGACACGTCGTCTCTCGTTTGATGCTGCTATAATATTTTGTTTGGGAAATGCAAACCGTAGCTGGTCGATACAATCCACCCTCTATTTTAACGACAAATAAACGTGTTTTGATAACTCGAACACTAAAACGCTTGACAATTAATGGGAACCATTGTGTTATCGAGTGTAGATCGCTTTTATGTGCGTCTATAGTATCGTTCTTTTAATGGCGGTAATTTACATTTTTTAAAATTATTTGGGTATTGCGTTGATGTCATTTTTTGTTTGGGGAGTTTTGAGAAGTTGGGGATTTTTGAATTGTGGTTTTTGGTGTTTGGATTTTTGCTGATTTTGGGATTTGGGAATTTGGGGGTTGGAATTTTGGAATTTGGGATTTGGGATTTGGAAATTTGGGATTTAAGATTTTGGGATTTTGGGGTTTGGAATTTTGGAATTTGGGATTTGGAAATTTGGGATTTTGGGATTTTGGAATTTTGGAATTTAAGATTTTGGGATTTTGGGGTTTGGAAATTTAGGATTTGGAAATTTGGAATTTTTGAATATAGAAAATTTAGTGATTTGGGGATGTAGAAAATTTGAATATAGGGATATGGGGATGTAGGGATATAGGGCTGTAAGGATATAGGGATGTAGGGATGTAAGGGTATAAGGATGTAGGGATATAGGGATACAAAGATGTGGGTTTTAGGGATATAGCGACACAGACATGTAAGGATTTGGTGTACGGAGATATAGGAATTTAGGGTACAGCAATACAGGAATATATGGATATGAGGATTCATATATTTCCAAACTTCAAAATTCAGAAATTCAAAAAGTTATCCAAAGTTCCAAATCCCTAAATTCCCATATTCCCAAAATTCTCAACTTCCACCTCACGTTCTCACCTTCCAACTTCCTACATTTCAAAACATTCCCACATAACTCCCCAATTCCTCGAATCCCCAAATTCCCAAACTTCACATCCCCCATTTCGTAACAATCTGAATCATCAACATCCGCCTGAACCAGCACAATAATAAGCGCAGACAAAGTGTTGTGTAACTCACCCTCAATCGTGGTGAGCTCCGGTGGTTCGGACATCCCGATCGCCAGCTGATCCTGTAGGATCCAGCAATACACGAGTAGGGTGCACACAATCCTGGCAGCCAGATTCGATTTCCTGCCGATGGACGACGTGGATGACGGCAAGGACGCCGTCGCGGCGACGGCGTCGGTGGCGTGCATCTTCACGACTGGCCCTGACACGCGGCTCTTCTCGCGCACCCTTCGTTGCTTTTGTATCTCACCCCTACGAACGCATACGCACCCGTCGAGCACCTGACCTACGCAGGTCAAGCCTGCCGTGCCTACTTCCGGTATCACATATCCGCGCGATCAGCCCCCGTGATCGATAGCACGCGCATACTTCCGCACGTTCCCTTCGGCACCGTTCACCGCAGACCGATCCGTAGAAATCGACCACCCTCGACTTCCTGTCTTCGTGTCCTCGCCACCAGTTCCGAGATAACGAAGAAACAGAAAGAAACGATTCGTGGAACGTTTTACCGCAACCACCACCCCACTCTCACCTCCCGAACGACAGGTTCATAGGTACAGTTTCACCCAAACACCACTTACGTACGAGTCAAGTGCGTAGATGTTATTCACTGGGGGATGACGGTTCTTTTTTTTGGTTAATGAGAAACGTGGAACACCACCGTCACGATGCTGTGTGTACGCGGCCGTTCGCGATGTGCAGCCAGCAAACAACGACCGAAACGTCGGGGGTGGCAACGACGCCAGGGCGCCGGCGTCCTGCGCAATGCACGCGAGAACCAGCACGTTTCCCACCCCCTACCGCATCCACCTTCGCCCTGCGAACGTCGCAGGGGTGCAGACCCTCTGAGTCATTCCTCGACGAAACAGCCTGCCGTCGATGTTCTGCGCCGCAACGTAAATATGCATGATCTAGGCGAGGAACAGGTCGTCGTCAACCCCGGACCAAGTGGAGGGGAACTGCCTCAAAGGGGTGCATACGGAAATCCGACGCTGACAACGATCCGACCGCGATTTAACCTGCGTTCAATTTCGGATTTTGCGTTAAGGCTTTTTTTGTCATTTAGGTTAGGGTAGAATGGAAATGAATATTAATGGAAATTACTTGATTTACTTTCGAGTGTTTTATTTGATATTGTTGAATGAAAGTATCTTTAATGGGGTATATGAATATGTGATGGACAATATGTGTCAATATGTGATAGACACTTGAGGTGATTGATATATTATCAATATGTTAGGATTGATCAATATATTTTATTAAATCGATATTGTTAATAACTATTGAAACCAAGTGATCAAACTGAATACATTAATTTTCAAGTTTGCTACATCCCAAATTTTCAAATTCACAAATTCTTGAATTTATCGATCTTGGAAGTTCTTAAGTTCTCTTTGTTCAAGCTTCAGAATTTCACAATCCACAAATTGGATTCCATCGATCCACGAATGACTAATTACTTAAATATGAAATAAATATCGAAAGTACAGAATTTGATAATTTTTTAATTTACAAGTTCGAAAACTTGAAATCAAAATGAAAGTGCCATTGACCCTCAGAAATGAACCTAATTTGAACGGAAAGTGCTTCATGTCTACCAATCCGCTATTTTCTTATTGACTCCATCACATACTCCATATAAGAACATAAAACTCTCCGTATAGAAGTAACTAATCGTATGTGTAACGCTTTTACTGCACCGAAATGGAAGCCGTTTCATCCGACTCGAGTGTTAGCCTCACGCTGAGCAAGTTAGCCGATACGGACACAAGATGGTTGCTACACATATCCAAAGACGGTTTAGCCGTTTTCTTCATCGGACACCGTTAATGGAACTCAGCACGCTTTTACGCGAGTAGAAGGATTGAAAGACATAATGTTACGCAAGAGTCGTTGGTTCGTTCGGTAAAAGTGGGTCGTTCTCATAAGGGAGGCTTGATAACTTTGAAACCGATCTTGCCGATGCTTTGCAATTCTATTTTCGATGGAATCGTGATTTCGGGGAAACTTGGATGGGTGTATTGCATTATTGATATCGGGTAAGTTATTTTAGTTCTTTTATCACTGTGATCTTTTGAATTGTTTGATATGGGGAACTTTTTGTTGGGGTTTTTTTGTGACTTTTTGTACTGGGTTTTGGACTTAAATTTTGGGGTTCTACTAATTTTACAAATATATACATTTTTTAATTTTTAAGTATCTCAGTGGCTAAAACTCTAAAACTCTAAATTTCTCAATTTCTCAATTTCTCAATTTCTCAATTTCTCAATTTCTTAATCTCTCAATCTCTTAATTTCTCAATTTCTCAATTTCTCAAATTCTCAATTTCGCAATTTCTTAATCTCTCAATCTCTTAATTTCTCAATTTCTCAATTTCTCAAATTCTCAATTTCGCATAATTTCTCAATTTCTCAATTTCTTTCTCAATTTCTCAATTTCTCAAATTCTCAATTTCGCAATTTCTTAATCTCTCAATCTCTTAATTTCTCAATTTCTCAATTTTGCTTATTTTGCTCCATTTCTCAATTTTGCTTAATTTCTTAATTTTACTCAATTTCTCAATCTTTCAATTTTGCACAATTTTTCAATTTTGCTCAATTTCTCAATTTTCCAATTTTGCAGAATTTTTCAGTTTTGCTCAATTTCTCAATTTTCCTCAATTCTTCAATTTTGTACAATTTTTCAGTTTTATTCAATTTCTCAATTTTGCTTAATTTCTCAATTTTGCTCAATTTCTGAATTTTGCTCAATTTCTCAATTTTACTCAATTTCTCAATTTTTCAATTTTGCTTAATTTTTATAATAAAAACATCACTCCTATATGTATAAACAATATACTGATACATAATATAGTGACCTAGCAAAGCTATACTATACAAAAAAAAAATACGAAACTGTTTCTTAATTTTGCTTAATTTCTCAATTTTACTCAATTTCTCAATTTTTCAATTTTGCTTAATTTTTATAATAAAAACATCACTCCTATATGTATAAACAATATACTGATACATAATATAGTGACCTAGCAAAGCTATACTATACAAAAAAAAAATACGAAACTCGTCCTATCTTAATTTTTGCCACCAATCTTTTCACCCATATTTCCATCCACATCCGAGACTTCTCGCAGCAATCCTCTGGGTTTTGAAGAAACTTCACGAAAGGCGAACACGTTTACCGTCAACTTTTCCACCATTCCTAATTTATCACTCGCCACGGATCTTGCTTAAAGAAACGTTGAAACGCTTCATTTTCACGAGTCCTTCGGGACTAAATGTTACCAAGTTTCAAGGAAAACATTGAAACAGGATAGCATCTGTTGCAAATCATCTTCTGAGGAAGATTCAGTCTTCTCGGATAGATGGAACTGTTCTAAAATAAGTTCGAATTGTACCACCTTCCTATATAAGAAAAATCGAAGGACGATTTGATTGATGAACCATTAAAAGTACATCTTTTATAAACATTGGTTACTGGAAGTTCTTGGTCATCAATCTTTTGAAGAGCAAGGACGAATTTGATGTCTGATGATCAAATTGATTGGAGTTATTGTTGAACCGATTAACTAGATTTACTATTGAATTGATAGATTTACTATTGAATTAATAATTCATTAAATTTATTGTTGGGCTGAACTAAATTTTCTATTGAATTGATACTTGGATATATTATTGATTGACTTAGATATATTATTGGGTCCATAATTGATTTTTATTATTCCACTGATTTTATTTGTTTGACATTTAATTTGTTTGCAGTGTCTGTTTTTAGAGATCGATATGCCTCACAGTGAAAATAAAAATTGAAGGTTTATCGAATAAAAAAATTGATTTTTTACAAATTTCGTCTAACGTGTGTTTGAAGAAAATTTTCAAGGTTCCTAACAAATTGTTCGACCAACCTTCTGATATTTATTAAAATGTCTCCACATCTCTCTGACACGACAAAGAAGATCTCCCCACTTGATAAATAACCCTCATGTCACAAGCTTCATCAATTCCTTCATTCCTCAAAAAACTTTCATCTCAAAAAATTCGCAAGCTTCAACAGAAAAATGCTAAAGAACCTCACATTTCTATGAACCTACGATAAAAATCCTAGATCTCCTCGCGGTCCAACTTTCCAACCTTTAATTTGCATTTCCAAAATCCTTCTTTCATTCTCTTATATTAAGATACATCAAAATGAAAGCTCGAAGTCCACAAACGACTGCTTCACGTAGGATTACACACTTGGAAAGTAGCTTAAGGCAAAGAGGATTATTAAGAGAAGCTGAACAGGTCGCGATGTACAATCGATCAATCGAGGATTACGCAACTGCATCAGACACATAAGACCGTTTGCTTAATGGCATAATCAACCTGGTGGTTGACTGCGGATGAAAATAGAAAGTAAGAACATTAGATCGACCGGTGAAAAAGTCAATTAGCTTAGGGTCATTAATGTTCCGTGCAGGATAAATCAACGCCGTGCAAAGAATTATATTTACATTTCTGTATTTGAGGGTGTAAAAAATATACGATATTGCGTTACAATAGTGTCTCCATAGAGAGACAATCGTTGGTGAATCGATGTTCTCTGGTTTGGGATGTGATTTACAATTTATAACAATTTGGAACTTCAGCGAGGTGTTGTGGCGACCAGGTTGGACCAGAATTCGGCGTACTCCTTCAAAATGGTGCCACTAAAAAAATAAAAAAAGAAAAAAATTAGTAAAAAGTATCATAAGAAGTATCATAAAATAAGAAGAAAATGAAACAGCACTAAATTAGACAGTTTTAATAATTATTAGGTCAGATTTCATATTAAATAAAGTATAGATACATGAAATATTGCATTCTGAAAGATGTAAAGTCCGATACAATTTGATGACATGAAAGTTCCATAAAACAGTGATTATGGTACATCAATTTATAGCTTAAGGCTCGTTGAAAATGTTCGTGCGAAAGCTTTTATAAATGCCCCTAATACGAACTGGCTGGTTGTCAGAAAATTGCATCATCGATTACTGTGTATACAGACTATTACTCTGTGTATAGTAAGTACCGTGTATATACAATACATGTTATATGTATATGATAGTTATCTTATAACCGACAAATTTGTAGTTTATATATTAAGGTCTAAATTGATGTAATACAAGTGTTATGTTGTGACAGTTTTGTGTTATCGAAGAGTATTTGATTTTTTATTTTTGGGGATCTGGGATTTGGAGATACAAGGATTTGGAGATGTAGGGATTTGGGAATGCAAGAATTTGGGGACGTAGGGATTTGGAAATGCAAGGATTAAGGAATATAGAGATTTGGAGATGTGGGGATTTGGGGATGTGAGAACTTGGGGACGTGGGAATTTGGGGATGTGGGAATTTGGGGGTTTAGGGATTTGGGGATGTGGGAATTTGGGGACGTGGGAATTTGGAAATGTGAAAATTTGGGGATGTGGGAATTTGGGGACGTAGGAATTTGGGGACGTGAGAATTTGGGCATGTGGGAATTTGGGGATGTGGGGATTTGGAGACGTGGAAATTTGGAGATTTATGAATTTGGGGACGTGGGAATTTGGGGATGTAGGAATTTGGGGGTTTAGGGATTTGAGGATGTGGGAATTTGGGGACGTGGGAATTTGGGGACGTGGGAATTTG